GGGGGGGGGGGGGGTGTGCAAGGAAATGGGATTATGTACGATCAACTAAGAATGGAAAGAAATTAGGGATTTTATATAAATAGATGGTCAAATTTACTCTTTAATTTTTTTCTAACCCGAGATTTTATACTAATTATGCACGACTATATATGTATTATACATAAATTATACATATACTATACATATGCTAGTTACCTTTAGTTTAAATAATTGGATGGTTGATTATTTAGGTTAAGAGTACCGATATACAAAATGAGAGGAGATCCATGGTAGGGGTCAAACCAAACCCCCGTATCCAAAGGCATCTTGCCGCAGGTTAATGGCTTAAATTTTTTTAAAAAAAATCTCACTTCTGCTGGATTAGGAATAATAACATTAGAAATGAATAAGTTAAAGACAAAAGAAAGTAAATGAATGCAATTTCCTATGATAAACATTGAACATGCAAATATATATTTTATGAACGTGAGAAGTGAATTAATGGCATTGCAAAATTCGTATACCAAAATGGATAATCGAGCATCATATATCAGATTGACAAACTACTTTACCATTCAAAAAACTATGCTGGACCTTTTTAGGACATCATTTACATTTTAACTCTGGTAAAAAAATCTTGGAAAATAAGCATTTCAGTCGATCGCCAGAATTTTTCCATATGAAAATTCCGACGATTGCCATATATTGTGGCCAATCTTGGTGTCACCATATAATAATTTCTGGCGAATATCATATTTATTATATTTTGTGGCAAATCCTAGTGATCATTATATCTAATTAATTCTAATAATTGTCATATTTTATGGTAAATTCACGTGATTACCACTTATGGCAATTGCCATATTTTATGACAAATCCTGGTAACCTCCATATGAAAACTTCTGTTGATTGCGAGGAGCGCTTCTCAAAATTCAGATTGGAAGCAATTTTTCCATGACTTTATCTTATCGAGGTTAAAATTTAAAGCGGCGCCGAATGATCCTACTTATACAAAATCACCCTTTACCAATAATTTTCTCTTTTTATGTTTCGTTAATAGTAATTTTCAATTGCAGGAAACGATGTATATTTAATCCAGGAAGAAACGTTGAAATAATTATATGAACGTAGTAATGACCTCATTTTTAGCGTAGTCAACCCGATAAGATTCTCCTCTCTTGGCCAATTCCTCCTCCATTTCAGCATAAACATCGAGAATGGCAAGATAACACGATTTCATGTATGGCGGCAATTTATCAATGGCACTAACGTCCCATCTGCTTGTCAAGAATCTTATAGGTCAATTTGAGCAGTACATAATTAACAGAAATAATATGACCTTATTTTATTTTTTATACATGAAAAATTTATTTTTACACGTAAAAATTTTATTTTTACACATAAAAGATCTATTTTTTACATGTAAAAGAACTAAAAAGGAAACTTTTCTTATTTTAACATTGTAAATGGCCATAATGACGATTTCCTCGTTAGGCAATATGTCCCTATTTTCCAAATGTAATTCTTTATCGACTGCTCCAATACGTGACACTCTTTCTTTTTTAATCAATCTCATAAAGAATGTCAATTGTCCTTATTTAGAAACAAAATCAAACACCCAAGTGTATACTCCTTCCGACCCAATATATGGACGGTATTTGACATGACACGAAGTTTAAAAAAGAAATATATACTTTAAAACTTGTTGTCCCTAAATACTCAAGAACAAAGTAGAAATTTTAAAACATAAACAAAAAACCCGCCCACCGACCAGCCTCATCCACCCCAATCTCCACCCACCATAATGGATTTGAAAAATGTGAAAATATGTAAAATGACAAAATAGGCCACACTAAGATTTGATTCCCATTACGGATTTCCTCTTTTCCACTCCTCCAACGAATCAATCTGGTATACTTCACCAAAAAGTAGAGTTTTTGGTCATCAAGCACTATGTTGAAGGCTACCTGAACGTACAGTGTATCTCGATGTATACTCAGTTTATTCTACGTATATACTTAGTGTGTGTATACAGTATACACTGAGTATAAAGTGTATACTACATATACTCTTTGTATACTCAAGTGTGTTTAATATATACATTGAATATTAGATTAGTATACACTGAGTATAACTAGGCTACATTTACCTCCGACGGTGAGCGAGCACTGGCCAGAAAGGAACCAACGATCAAAAACGACAGAAAATGAAAATGGAGGGACAACCCCTTGTCCATGGCATCACAGTCGATGTCTTCCATCGAAAATCACTGCCACGAAGATTTCTACTAGGTGGGGAAGCTTTTTACATTGTACTTTCATTTTGAAAGTTTCAAAAGGGCCTAAAGCACACAATATAGAAACCAAATCGTATATGTTTTTAGAATAAAAGAAAGAGAGAAGATCTGGCATTTGTCAAAAAGATGGAGAGGAGTACTATATTGAAAGTA